ATCTAAATCAATCAGTTCCCCACCTATGAAAAACAAATGTTATTATGCTCATTAAACCATCATTCACCCATGAAATATATAAGGGGTTCTCCCTTTAACCTTAACACTGGAGTTTTGGGCCCTTGCCCCCAACTACCATCCTTTACTATTCCAGGGCACTGAGTAGGTATTTCAGTATTAATTAATTATGTCCTTCGGCTGAATGTCCCAGCAAATAAAAATACTCAGGGGAGCAAAAGTTATGCAATCTTAATGAGCAAGCAATTAGAATCTTAAGAACTGCTGTCTCTAACAGAATCAGCATTACAGCTATCATCAATATCAGCTCCAGATCCATATCTGTACTCTTTATGTGTGCCCAGGATCACCATTCTCAACATCTTTATTAGTTTTTTTTAAATGCTGATGTCCGTTTTTTCATTTTCTTCTGTTTTAAGTTGGGACAGGTGCTTTTTCTTCTTACAAATTTCAAATGTGTTGCTGTTGTACTCTGATTACCCCATTTTTAAATATAAATACACATATCACAAATATTTCCGTGACACCTAAGCTCAATCTTCAGCAAACCTTCCTATGAAGTTGACGTCATTAAAAGCAGGCTAGACACTCCACACAGTTAAACAAGTCATAATAACACTTTTGTTAGAGATGAAAATGTATTCTCTGCCAACATTTGATGCTGGAGGAGTTTTATCAGTTTTCACTTCACTCCATTTACAATTATTAAAACTTTTGACTTGTAATTTCCTGCAACTCAACCCTTTGTTATACAATAAATTCTTCTTGTTTTAAATACAGTACAGTGTTAGATCCTTAGAGGCCTCAGTCAGCTTAAACATTTCCTACTATGTTTACATTTGGTAAGTGCTCACTTACCAGCAGGTTACTCAGTAGCTTAGTTGCTATTTTAAGTAAAGCCAAACAAGGGAAGTCTCTCACTTTTGCAATTGTTTAGCGATGCCGGTAACATACAGAAGTGTCATCATCTATAGGCACTGCAAGTGTCTATTAGTTGTAATGTAACTCTGTAACTCTATAGGGCAGGGTTTCAAATTATCCCGTGCCTCTTTACCAGTGCCTTTAGGAACACTATTGAAATTAATAACATTAAAAACAACTTTTATTTCCAAGTTTCCCATGTGATATAAACCCAGGTGGGATCATTTTCTAAATCCAAGGAATGGAAGTCATAATATATTTTCTAATATATTATATCTGATGCTATTACTCCAAGTGTTCTGCATTGGAACAATTCCCAACTCTCTGCACGTGAATTGCACTGTGTAGATGTTTACACTCACAATATCTTGTTTCATTAATCATGTCACTTGGGGGAAAGAGGGTGTTACCATCCCCAATGCCCTCATCAAAAACAAAGCTCTCCAGACAGAAGTGAAGCAGGTGTTTTCTATTACATGTCATGAATATGAGCTCTTTGACTGTTCACCACCAGGACACCCATTAAATATCCAATATGTCATCATTAAAATGTTGTAAATGTCACCCATTCATAAAAATGTTTTGTTGCACCGAATACATTTTGGAAAGTGTCACGGCAGTGCTTCTCTTCCAAAGTGTTACAAATTCATATGATAATGATATTCTAATGATACTCTAATGAGCTTTTAATTAGTCTGCTCCATTTTGTTTCTGTTTTGTAGTATCAGATGGATTTCATGGCCTGAAGAATGATGCGTGCCAAGCCTGCATAAAGATTTTTTTTTTTTTAATCCAATAACTTTTAATTTCATGTGTTGTAAACATAAGGCAGCACTTGTGCTTTATTTCCCACTGCTGCCTTCAAACTCAGGTTTTACCTTTAGGTGATCAGAGCTCATGTGTTTTACTATAGGAACTCTGTATCTCAATCTGAAAAGGTCAGCACACACCGAAAGAAAGAAGAAAAAAAGGTCAGGAGGGATCGACCTGCCTCTGGCCTGTAGAACGGTGCTGAATATGGCATCAACAGCCCTCTGTTGCTGGAGGTAGGGTGAGTGTGTGCATATTTTTGATATACTCATAGTATGTTATGGGGCATTCAAATGTTATCATTGTGGTGACCATTCTCCTCTTTTTCAATAACAACAAATAAATATATAAATAAAAGCCTTCATTGAAATGAATGCATCAGTATAGGTATGAAGATTTTGTTAAGGGTGATAGTAAACTTCAGTTGGGGTGGATAATGATTAGGATTAGTCATGTAGTTATGGTTAGGTTGGTCGTCATTCCGAAGCCTATGAAGTCATAAAAATATAGTGTGCATGTGTATGTGTGTGTTTGTGTGCCAGTTTTGAGCCTGGATGATGAAGCAAAAATGAAACATCTTCTTAGTCACACCTTTCTAATTAAAATACTACCTACAGTAGCAAGAAAATGCCTGCTTTATCTGCTCATTTCTCTACAATACTAAAAAGTTGCCTTTGCACCACATGATGGCGCTGTGGCATCAGCTTTATGACTCAGACCACTCAAGCAAATTTGTAGGTGGGGGTTGTATTTGTGCTTTAACCCGTTCGACTGCCACTACGTGACGGTTTACGGGCAAGACTGGGCTTGCTCCTGCCACAGGAGAGAGACCTCTCAGAGGCACGACAGATATTTTTCAAAGATGGATGGAAAAGCAGCAACAAAATAAAAAGCCTCTGGGCATTAAGAATTTGATTTCCTGGCTTATTTCTCAAGTGAAACTGAAACCAGTGGGTAGAAAAACATCTGTGTAGTAGTTCATAGAGAGTAGTACAGATGGAATACGTCTTTAAGGGGCATCCATACACTTCCTTTTTCTTTTTTTTCAGCTATTGCTTGGCACTATTTCAAGCCAAGCGGGGTTAATTTAGAGAGATACGGCAAAGGCGTACTTACATTTATGACAGACAGTATGTTTTTTTGTTGCATCAGCTCCAAGTTGATGATCCTCTGTGCATAACGTTAGCAAGCTGCAATTAAAAATGAATATACTGTGACCATGACTGTGAATTAATAAATAAATAGGTCTTGGCACGGACAGCTGAGGGTGATCATGCACAACCTTCGCAGGAGTGGTTTACAGCCGGGTGACTGATGACTTGTGCAGAAGCAGAGTCCACTCAAGAATGCTGTTACCGAATGTAAAATGAATGAGCTTTGCAACAACATCACAGAGCTGCATTACATAAAAATCCTTTGCATGACACTTTGCTACACCTTTATGTTGTACTGTTGTAGGCCCCCAAAAACAACAGATGTTCTGACAGCTCAGTGGCCATCTAACCTTAAGAAGCGTTTTATTTATGAAATTCAGGTCATAGCCACGTAGCAAATGACATACATCCAGTTTCCTAACCAGAGTCGAGGTGGGAATATTTTAGCTGTTGCGGAATAAGAGACAGGGTACAACCTATACAAGTCACCACTCCATCACGGGGCTCTAACACAGAGAAATAACCAATTTAGAATCAACTATTATCCTAACAGTCTTATCTCTGGACTGTGGGAGGAAGCTCAGGTACCCAGAGAGAGCACATGTGGGCACAGGTCAGTGGTTTCAAACTCAGGTCTCTTTTGCTATGAGGTGACAGTCCTAACCACTTTATAAAAACGTCTTTGGGTTTATTAATATCTCACAATCTTTTGTATTTAAGGTCAACACACACACACACACACGTTGTGGCTAAAACTTCGTAAATGTTTTTTTAAAGCATTACCCAGACTGTAAAATACTTTAGAGGCAAGTCCTTGCCTGTGTATTGTGGAGTTCTTCGAGTTTTCATTTTGGTAGATGGATGTAAAATATTAATAACACAATTTGGAAAATCTGCGTCAGCGAACTACCGTAAAAACATGACTCACTCTAATGTGAATTCCTGTCATCCCTTTACCTGGTGGAAAAATGTGGGGTAGTTTCCTTCTTCTGTCTACACATACTCCCAACTGCATTTACTGTGTAAAGCAAGACAGAAATGTTGGATATTAAAGCTATTTGTCTTATCGCTCAGTTTAGACATACGGTTATTATGAGGGCAGAGAATATGCCAAGAGTAATGCAAGAGGCTGTAACAGATAAGTGATGGCGAGTGAGAGCTGATGACCTAATACGGTGCACAGTGTCTCTATTCTGCACTGTACCAGTCACAAGGTCGAGTACCACGCTTACGGGGGAGTCGTGCCCTCCATTGGCCGGTGACACCGGGTCTGTCAGTCTGTGAGCTCCCATGCAATTCACCAATCCAACGCGGGTGTGCGCACTGCCGCTTTCAAGTCAACGATTCCCATCAGAGTCTGCATCACTGAGAACGACGCGCAATCAGGAAATTAGACCTACGCGCCTTCAAAATAAATGAAACAATATGGTTTGCAAATGAACTTCGCACTGGCACAGAGCAGTAAAGTGCTTCTGTATCACCGCCGGATATACTATAAAAAGAGGAAACACAATTCAAAATAAGGAAGAAACAAGACAAAATGAGGTTCTTCTGTACCCAGCAGGTTGATTCTGTTCATCTGGAAGTAGCGTTTTCAATGGGAGAAACGTTTCGTCACTCATCCAGGTGACTTCTTCTGTCTTAGATAATTTACTTACCTGGATGGTTGAGCATGCGTCAAGACATCAAGACAAGGTTCTTCTGTTTCACAATAAAACGAAATAACTCGGATTAACTAACCTGAGAAAATCAGCAACCGTAGGGGTATTTGAGATGTCTTAGTCCTTTCCAAAACAGAAATAATAAATAACTTTTCTTTTGTTTTATTTGCCAGGCCAGACAATACACTGAACACAGGTTAAAACAACACAGTTGAACACACTGTGGTGCAATGAATTTGCATCTGTTTACATGTTTGTTTTATGATGTATTTGTTGTATTTTTAAGTAAAAATACATAATAAGAATAAATAATATATTTAGTTCCAACCCTAAAGTATATATAACTCCAGCTCCACTTTAAGCTACTGCACCTGAAGCGCGCATTCTTTACTTTGAAATTATCTCACCGGATGTGGAGTCTCATCCCCCTCCCCATTCTCCGATCTCTGTTGACACCGGCCATTCAGCAGATCCCCACAGAGCAGCCTCGACTGACGGATTCACAGACCCCAGCTCCCCTCAGTTCCTGTTTCCGCCGCAGCCGTCCTACTCAGTTTTGTGGAGCAACACGTCTCGGCTGTCTGCTGCTTCAGGACCCAGCCTCCGCAGCTCGGGTCGGGTGCCTCTGGAAGCCGGCGTATCAAGTCAAGGTAGGTAGCGGATCACGCTGCTCGCATGGCGGAAATGTTGAAGCAGCAGAGGCAGTGCTCAGCCCGTTACATCCCGGCCTGTTGACTGCGTCGCTGGTTAGATCAAACAGCGGTCACGGTAGGAAGCGATTTCAGGTCCCGTTACATCCGCGCTTTTTACTCTCCATCAGGGGGTCTCTCTTGTTGACACCTGGCTGCTTTACATACCCACAAACTGCCTTGCGACCCCCCCCGGTTTATTTTTTTTGTTGTTTTTTTTACCGCTCGTTCGCGTTGAGAAGAGCAAGTGCTCGGAACAAATTGGTTTACAGTGTGACCGCGTCAGGACCCGGGTAGTTAGTGTGAAAGCGCCTTTTAAGACCCAATAATCACCTGAATGAACGTGCAGCGGGTTAATTTTTGACATCAACAGTGCTAGAAATGTGTAGCCTATATGCTAGCCGCTTTTCTATGTATCGTTAAATAAGGATGCAATGCTTTTGACCTCCAGTCTCGCGCACACAACGTGTTAATAAAGACACATGACACCGGCGTGTGTGTTTGACAAGTGTCTGCCTCCCTTCCTTTGCTGTGTTGTATTTATGCGTGGCGGGCAGACAAAGCAACTGCCTGTGTGTAAGCCTCAGTGCACAACTGCTAGTATCTGGAATCGCTTTGTATCACCAGAGCCAGGCGTGCGTTTGTTTTCGATATCTGGAGGTATGGGTAGTGTTTGCTGAGGCCTCTGATATGGGGTTTTTGAGAAATAAAAACTGCTCAGTTAAGTTCATGCTGCATCGCGTCAGGTAGGTCAGAGGGGGTGAGCTCTGCTCCCCATCTCCACTCGCACGCGTGCACGTTCCGATAAAGCTGGCGATGCTGTGCACGGCATCGCCCACACGCACGGAGGAAGTATGTGTTTTGTGTGTGGTGTAGTTCCACTGATAAGAATCTGGACCGTCAGGGCTGGTAAGGCCTGAGGTTCAGCTCCCAGCAGGAGCACCCATTAGAAGATGTATTCCTTCATAGTGATGTGAGGACCACCAAATAGCTCGTGATAAATGTACAACTTAGGCAGCAAAAGCTCTTGGTATATGAATGGCTGTAATACTGCGATGATGTCAGAGCTCTAGCTAAAATCAAAGCATGTCAGAAAGAAGCATAGTGAAAGGCTCTTGTTTAATTGTGTTCCATAAGACAGATTATAAGTGCGGTATCTTATTTCTTTTTCATAAAAATCGATTTGTAAAGGATGGCTCTCTTTCTTTTCTTTTTTTTTTTTTGCTTGACTTTATTATTTCATATCACTTAATGTCTGGAGCAGATATTACAAGACATATCTCATCTCCATGAAGCACACAAGTGATTTTTCTTTCTTCAATGGCATATGGCCCGACTATAATTTATTAGTCTGTAATGTTGTATAGTGCCACAATCATCCCCAGAGTGTTGATCCATTTGCTGCCCATATCCCTTGTGCTCCCATTTGAATTATATTTGCTGACAAGGGAGAAATGCAACACCTATGGACAACTAATTCATCATTAATGTTATCTAATAAAGTCAGCCTTGGTAACTGGAAGCAGATTGATTGAGTTAGTAGCCCTAATCCATTCATGAATAAGTAAACAGCTGTATATATTGCTGGGACAGCAGTCTATGCCACGGCAGGGGAGCTCGGTCTTGGATTCCAGTGGCAGCCACTGTGCTGCTTCAGATAGACGCGTGGTTATATTTGAGTTGCTTTAAACTGTCAGGGGGCAATTATTTTACATAAAAGCAACTGTGACTCACGCTTTGGCAACAATTTGCTTTGATCTGGGCTTTGCCATTTGAGGAAAGAATGGGCATAGCCATGAGTGGACCCATTTATACCAGCCAAGTATTAATAATTTCATTAAAGTAGTTCATTCGCGGGTGTCTTATTTGGGTGAAGCGCTTAGATCAAGCAGTAGTGATAACGCTCACATGCAGTTACCCTGAAAATTTACTTGGCATGTTTGAACTTTTTTTTTGTAAAATGCCACCCCTGATTGTGTTCCTTCTGTTTGTTGGGTTTATTAGAATAGACACATATTACATTTGCAGCTATGTAGCTGCTGGCACGCATGATACTGCATCTATAATGCAGGAGAATGTGCTTTCCAGAGAAGTACACTTCAGCTGATCCATTCCCCCCCCCATTCCCCTTTTGTTTCCCTGCCTCTGTCTCTGCCCTTTGCGCTTCCACCTTCAGTGCCTCATGCTGCTGTCTGTCTTCATTTTTTTTGACTAATGACTTCATTAAACATATTACTGTTGCTCTGGCAAAGAGGTTGGATGCGGGGCGATGAGCAAAAATGGGCGGCGACTCATTTAATAGGTGTATTTAACGTGTGCACGTTTGTCACGTGGCGAGCACCGTTCCTCTGTTTGGCTTAGCGCAGCGAGTCCCTGCCAAGTGGTGTTTTTATTTAAAATAGGATTTGTTTTTCATTTCAATTCTTTCTGCAGCACCAGCCTGTCACCTGCACAGCAAGCGCCTCTGTTTGCATGAAAAGCCATTCTAATTTCAAGCATCACAGTGTTTTGGCTTAGTGTACAGTTTGTGTGTGTATAATGCTTGATGTTGGCTTCGGGGTGCTGTGTATACATCCCCTTTCTCCCCCTGTTGTCCCAGATATATCCTTTTTTTTTCTTTTTCCCCTCTCTAAAAACGTCAGACGGATGAGAAGGCTGAATTGTGCTGTGGAGGAAACAAACAGCACATTTTGAAGACATGCTCCCAGTTTTGGGGCTTCATGCTATAAACACAAAGAACAACTGAAGTGAAGAGGCTATGCAAGACATGGCAGTGCTTGTAGGGAGATGCAGTAACAATGTTACCAAAAGAGGCTCATCCGCAAGCATTGATTTGTTGGTATTGTTAATCTCTGTGCTGGGTATTCGAATTCCAGACAATGTACTGTAAATAGAGCAGAGGCCATTGAAAAGACGCTTTTGCTTTTGTTGTCCCTGCTTTTGGGAAGAAAAAGGCGGAAATGATTATGTATGGAAACATGGACACATACCCATTTTTGAGCCGTATTATCAGGAGCTCGGTCTGTAAAGATAGAAGAGATAAAGAATAGCTGGTCCATGAATGCGGTTCAGTGAGCAATTGCTGTATGACCAGTGCTGGCATTTGGCTGGCATTTTTCATATTAGAGGGGTTGTTTGGGGTTTGTTTTATCTCTCTTTTGCCCTCTAGGATTTGAAAACGTCCTTATGGAGATGAGAAAATAATCACTAACATATTAAGATGTTAATGAGTTTGTTGGGACTGTGTTTTGTGGGTTTGGCTAGGATCTGTAGAAGAAACGAGCTGAGCAGCATTCAGGTATTGTACGTTTTGTGCACCTGCAGAATGCAGCATTTCTAAAGGGCAAAATCGGTAGGAAAAAGACCTTTCTGCATCACTCTTCTCCTGCTGTCATCCTGCTGGAGGGCCATTATTATCTGTATTGTAAGACAGAGTGACTGTCTAGTGATTGCATGAGCCAATCACAAGGCGAGTATAGGGCAGGTTTCCATGGTGAAAAGCGGGCTGGCCCGTGAGGTTGCTGAAGCTCAGCTTGAGTAGGCTAGCCTGATCCAGGCTGATAGCATTCTCCGCCAGCAGAAGAAGAAAAGGGCCCTGGAAGGCCTGCCCTGCTGTCTGCCTGTCTAAATGTCTTGTTGTTTGTCTTCCCATCTTTACTCGCTTGAATATCTAAGGACAGGATAGAAGAAGTTTGGAATAGGAATTCAGTCAGACAGGCGCAATAGGAGCTTGAGCCGATAGCCATGTGCCATCAGATTTGATTTGTGTAGGGAGTGGAGATGGATCACATGTCTTTGCTACATCTATCTCGGGTGGGGTTGGAGGATGTTAGAACATGCAGTGGGGTTGAGGGATAGCTCTGAGTGTACCCTGTTCCTGTTACTTTTGTTGTGACCAGTCAGACATTCGGACCAGTGCTCCCCCTAGAAGAGTATGCTGCCCCCTCTCTGTTTGGCCCTGCAGGGAGGCTGCCCAGCCTGCAGTTCACCCGCATCACTGAGAATGTGTACTTGTGCGTGCACACTCCCTTGTGTAGGCTTGCTTTTGCTTTTTCTTGGGGAGTTATTGCTGCAGCAGTCTGAGGTGGGAAGTGGGTCTTACGACATTTCTTCTCGGCTCATTGGAGCCATCCATAAATAGGCATGTACCCATCCACTTGCAGCTCTTAAATTTCCTCCTTCCCCTGTTTCTTCTGCTTTTCAGTAGGAGGCACTTAAGTCCCCCTTGCTGCACACTCTCCCACGTGCCTTTGCATTAATTTATGTCTTTCTATGTAATATATGTATGTATTCTAGTTTTGCATCTTTGTGTAAGCATCACACGAAGACAAGTAGAATGCAAGCGGTGCCTTTTCTGCTTGTGGAACTGAATTCATATGGGTATGAGACACAGTGGGAATTTTTAGCTCATCACAAGTTGCTCAGGGATTCACTGTGGGACACAGACAGCCGAAACCACCCATCTACCCACAAAACCCCTGATGCTCAGTGCCCATGGCCCATCAAACAGCCTTGTTAACCCCTCTGAGTCCACAGCTCAGGCCAGGATCAGCACAGGCATGGAGGGCTGGAGGGATTCAGAGATGCTAAAAATTCTTTGCCGTCTTACAAGTTTACTGTGCTGTGTTGTTTTTATGGACCCTACACTGTCTAAGTTAAAACAAGATCTAAAATTGACAGACTCTAAGGAATGTTTCGAGCACAGGAGAATCCAGAAAGTACAAGTCGTCACTAGTGTCATCCAAGGCTGAACGGGACAGATATTTTGGAGTAAAGAAGAGGCAGATGGGTATGGATGGAAAATTAGGAGGGAAGAGAGTCTCAGTAACTGGGGCAGCTGTGTAGCTTGAAGCACAAATGCTCAGATTGCCCACCTCACCCCTGCTTTAAAAAAACAAACAGAGTCAGAGAGCCAGATGCTGGACATTAGGATCACAGTGACAATAATTCGCATTCATTCG